GCCTCTGGGGTCCCCCGGCCCTTTTTGGGGCGCTGCTGCAGCACGTCAGGGCTGGAGGAACTGTGAGTGCTCTGCAGTGCGTGCCTGGAGCCTCAAGGTGCCCCGTGCCGTGGGGCACCCCTGTGCCGCAGGGCCCCCTGGCAGCGCCAGCCCCGGGGGGAGCGCAGCGAGCGCGGGGGGTGCGATCATATCTGCGGTGACACATGTGCTGATTACGGAAAATGGGTTAATCTCCCTGCGGCTGGAGGCGGCTTAGCGGGGGGTGGCTCGTGGCAGGGCCCGGCGAGGGGCCGCGTGCGCCCGCCGTGGCCTCCGCTGTCCCCTCTGAGCCCCGGCTGCCCGGCAGTGACAGGGGACATGGCACACGGCTGCCTGCCTGCCAGCCCGGGCGCGATGCGGTGGGTCGCGGTGGTGCTGGTGGTGGCATGGAGCGGTTTGGCCCCCCCAGGTACATCAGGTGTCTGCTCCTGGGAGCCTGCCTAAGCTGGGGGCACGGTGCCACCAAATCCCGGTGTCCGGGGGTGTCGCGCAGCCGCCAGCCTGCCGGGTCCCCCCGCGCTGTGTCCCGAGCGGCCCCGTGCCAGCTGCACTTGTCTGCCGGCTGTCGCCGAGCCAGCGAGGGCTGTCTGGGGCCGCGCTGTTCCCGGCACGCCATTCCCAGGGCGCCGGCTGCCGCCGCAGCCTCGGCTAAAAACAACCAGGACTGCCGCGAGTGGCTGCTGGGGCACCGTCCCCCTGCTTCCCGGGAGCCCCTGGGGGGCTGGGATGGGGCACACCGGGACCCCCGGCATGGGGCACTCCAGGACCGTGAGCCCTGCGCGTGCGGTTTCCTGCTTTCATCCTGAGGGTTGGGATACAGGGTGGGCTTTGGGCTGTACCTGGGGATGTCCCCTCTGTGGGCAGGCAGTGCTGGGTGTGGGTGTGTGTCCCCAGGGTGCTGTGGGAGCAGCCCATGGTGTGAGGGGCTGGTGGGTCATGCTGGCTGGGATACCACTGGACCTTTGGGACTGGCCTGCTCCTCTCGAGGCATCCAAGCCGCAGCCAGGCCGGAGTGGTGGCAGTGGTGGTGTGGCACAGCTGTGGCCACCCCAGGGGCCGTGGCGGGGGCTGGGGCACCTGTTCTTGCTAAAGAATGGCACGTCTGGTGGTGGGTGCGGGAGGTGTAACCGGAGCGGCGCGTTCCCGGCGTAACCGGAGTCGGCCCGGCTGCAACAGGTGGAATTTCAGTTTGTGGCTCCTGGCAGCAGCGAGATGTGGGGTGCTGGGGTGAGGACCCGCACTACAGGGCCAGTGGTGACTCCCTAGTGTGCCTCCATGGGTTGGGGAGACCATCCTGCCGGCACAGACAGCATCCCTGTGGGTCAGTGTGGTGTCCCTGGCCCTGTGTCTGTGCTGGGGGAGCGGTGGTTGTATCTTGCAATTGTTGGGATGCTGGAACACCAGTGCTGCCCAGGGACGTGCAGCGGGGCTGTGCAAGCCCTTGGGTCAGCTGCTGGCCGTGGGAGTTGGATGTAGGTGCTGGGGTCTGCTCTGGTCTCAGCATCCTCAGATTCCTGTTCCCAGCAGCCTCAACTCCGGCGCACGCTGGCCGAGTGTGCCGCTGGCTCCGGCCGTGCCGCAGGCTGGGCATGATTCACGCCTGCCCGGGGACGTGAGAAACGTGACGGTGACTCACCGTGGGGAGCTCCGGGGATCCGGGAGAGGGTCTCTCTCAGCAGTCCTGTCAGGGGGGCACCTCACCACTTCTTCACTACGCTGGCTTGCCCTTGGCAGCCTGGAGGGGCTGGTTGGTGGCCGGGGGGCAACGGGGGCAGCCAGGCCTTTGGCCTCGCGTGCGAGGCTACCCCGGGCTGGTTCTGCTGCCAGCGAGGAAACCGCAGGCTGCAACCGCAGTGGCTCCGCAGGCACTTCCTGCCCTGCCCGGAGGCTGCCATCCTGTGCCCCCTACCTCAGCACGGCATCCCCACTCTGCCCACACACCGTGGGGACAGCCTGGCATGGGGAGGGTCTCCAGTGCCTGTCCTGGTGAGGGTGGGGGATGCACGCAGCAGCCGCTGCCAGATTTGGGGAGTGCAGGATGCTGCGGTGGTGAACTCTGCGATGGCAGCAGGGACGAGGGCCTGGGGTGGCAGGTCAGTGGGGTCATTAGTCAGCGGGGTGACACGTCAATGGGGTGACAGACTCTAGGGTGGCAGGGGAGCAGGGTGAGAGAGTCTGGGGTGACGAGCTGTGACAATCGGGCCAGGACTGAACTGAAACTTGTCTGCCTGGGAATCGAGAGTGGCAAGGGGAAGCTGTGGCCTGGAGCACGGTGCCCGCTGGCATGACAGGAAGGGCTGGGTCGCTGCCCGCTGCCCTGCCAGGCACCCCCCAGCATCCCTGGGCCCGCTGGGCCCCCGCTGCCAGGGGTGCCAGGGCGGTGCCCCCGCTCACCGGCGTGTCACATCCGGGCGCTGGTGCTGCCATCACCGTGTGCCCCGACAGGAAGCACAGCTGGGTTTGGGGGTGTCACAAGGGCTGGGGTAGGGGTGCTGCCTGCACCGGGGGTTTTGGGGGGGCGTCAGGGTGGGCTGGAGGTGTAGCTGGCTGGAATGGTCATGGGGAGGGGGTGTTGCGGTGTGGCCATGCTGGTGGGATTCTGGTTGCTCTATGGTTGATGCTGGCTGTGCTGGATGTGGCTGTGGACACTGAACCCAGCCTGGGGGGTCATACTGGGGGGCTGCCTTTTTGGAAGGGTTCTTTCGGGGGACTGTGCCAGCACTGCCTGGCCTGTCTGGGTGTGCACACGTTTTTGCAGAGGGCTTTGTGCTCTCTTTGTGGTCACAGTGGGATGGTGGCTTGGGCAGCTGTGTCCCACTCCAGCTGTGTTTCCCCACTTCCAGTCATGGCCCCCCAGATTATGTCCCCCACCAGCCCCACTGCTGCTGGCCCTGGGAATGTTCTGATCCGCGTGTCAGTACGTCTGTCCATCCGCTCCCAGTGGCCATCCCCGGCCTGGGTGGGAGGTTCCTCGTGGCTGCATTTGGCCCAGGCCCTGCAGCAACGTTTTCCACGGGGCTGGAACGAGGCACTGGATTCCAGGAAGCTCCGGGCCTCGTCCAGCTCCTGCGGGGACTGGAGGAAAAGGCGTTGGGGCGGGTGAGTGTGGGCCCTGCCGAGGGGGCTGCACGGCCCCTGGCCCCACACTGCTGACCCGGGGGGCTCTGGGAGTGCAGCTTGGTCTGAACACCCAGGACCCCCATTTGGGACACCCAGGACCCCCATTTGGGATGCCCACAATCCCCCAGTTGGGGAGCAGCTGTGTGCTGGGGGCTGTGGCAGCACACGGTCCCAGGGGAGCTCCTCTGGGCAGCAGCTCCTCCTGCCCTCCAGGACCCACGGGAGCAAGACCAGCCGTGATCCCCGGACCCTCCTGGCCACTGCTGGTCATGTGGAGCACTGGGAAGGAGGGGTGTCACTGGGGTGCACGGTGACCAGGCCAGCAGCGTTGGCCACACTTGGTCCCTGGCCGGCGGCACTGGGGGGGCCTGAGCGGGTTGAGTAATTGGGCCCCGGCACGGCTGGCACGGTGCCCGGCTAGCACTTGGCACCGGCAAACATAAACAGTTCTTCCCGCGCCTCCCTCCCCTGGCTCTCGGGCCAGCACAACTCGGGGGCCACGGCCTGGCTGGGGGGGCCCTGGGCAGTCCCCCACACCGCAGAGCAGCGTCCCTGCTGTGCCATGTGTGGACCCCACGCAAGGGCTGTCCCCAGTCCCACGCTGAGCTGGTGGCCGGCACCATGCCCTGGCAATGCCTGTGGGAATCCCACACTCACTTGGGCATCCTGTGCTGGGCGGGGTGTGACCCTCACATCCCTGTGGGATGTGATGGGGGGTGGCTGGTGGGTGACCCTTGCCCACCCCAGGGGTGCCAGGACTATGGGTCTCCCCATGGGTGCTTCCCACTGGGTCAGTGGGTGCTGGTGTGAGTTGGGAGAATGGGGGTCCTGCCTCCAGTGGGTGCAACCAGTTGGGTTCTGGGGGGGCGGGCAGGGCCATGCCCATCCCGGCCCCTCCCCAGCGCCTTGCCGGGCGGCCCAGCCTTGTTCCTCTGGATCCTTTTCCGCCTCCGCGGGGCCGGGAGCCAGCACTCTCGGCAAATAAACAGCCCCCGCCGGGCCCCGAGCCAGCACTTAAATAAACAGCCAGCCCGGGATTGTGAAAGCCCCGCGCCCCCCTTCCCACCGCCCCCCGACCAGCCAGGGCCGAGGGGTCCGTGCCCGCTGGCCTGGCGTGGGAGCTGCCGGCACACGGCGTGGCCTGGCGTGTGGCACATGGCACATGGCATGGGGCGGGGGCTGCGCCGCGACGGGCACGGCCCTGCGGCTGGCAGAGCCCCCCGGTGCTGGTCCTGGGGGGCTGAGCCCCCTCCCCCTGGGGCCGGGGGGCTGAGCCCCCTCGGGATCCGGCAGGGATGGGATGGGGGGAGTGTGGCGGAGTGGACACGTGGCCGTGGTGGCAGAGCCGGCCCGGAGCGGAGCCGCTGTCCTCAGGGGACCCCCGTGTGCCCGTGTCCCCCCCGCCCCGTCCCCAGCTGCCCCGCAATCCCCCAGGCTGGGGCAGGGGCTGCTGCCCCCAGGCCCTGCTGTGTGCCCCATCTCCCATGCCTCGCCTGGCAGAGCCGGTGTGGGATCGTGGTGTGGCCTTTGGCTGGAGGGGGTGCCCTGTGGGGCCGCAGTGTCCCCAGGCCGTCCCCACACCGTCCCCCCCACCCAGCTAAGCCGGGATTAGTGAGCTGCGCCTGCCGGTGCCGCCGTCCCGGTGTCGTTAATCGGGGGGATCGGCGTTAATCCCGCACGGAGCCCCAGGCCCGGCCGGCTGCGCCCTCCTGGGGCCGGGAGGGGATGTGGTCCCGGTGGGGGGGTTGGGGAAACTGAGGCACGGCTGGTGGGTGACCCTGTGGGGTGGGGGTCAGTGGTCCCAGCCCCTCTGTTAATGTCCCTCTCTGCTTCCCCCGCAGCGCCGCAGGACCAGCGCCAGCTGTGAGGACAGCCCGGCAGCAGGGCACCCGCGGGCCCCATGCTCTGCTCGCCCCCGGGACCCTGCAGCTGAGAGTCCCCCACACCGGAGACCCCACCATGGCCAGCAACAGCAGCTCCTGCCCCACGCCGGGCGGGGGGCACCTCAATGGCTACCCTGTGCCCCCCTATGCCTTCTTCTTCCCACACATGCTGGGGGGGCTCTCTCCACCCAGCACCCTGGCCGGCATCCAGCACCAGCTTCCCGTCAGCGGATACAGCACCCCGTCACCTGCCAGTGAGTACCAGAGCCCTGCTGGGGCTGGTGGCACCCCTGGTGCTGGGGGGGTGTTTGAGGCCCCCTCTGGGCCAGGCTTTGTCCCCAGGATGGGCTGTGGGTGCCAATCCCAGGCTGGTCCCTGGGGCAGTGGCACTGGTGAGGGAGGGTCTTCCTGCTCCCAGCCACACCTGTAGGGAGCTGATTTTGGGTGCCAAGTGCTTTTCCCCGTGTGTCCCTGTGAGTGCTGCTGCTGGGGAAACTGAGGCAGGGAGTGGTCAGTGGCACCAGTGGGGTTGTGTCATTAATTACGGCCACCTTCATTAGTGACTGGTTATTGATGGCCCTCAGGCCCTGGCCAGGGTGTTCCTGTCCCTCACTGTGAGCAGCCTGGGTGCCAGCAGGCTTGGTGGGTGCTGTGTCCCTGTGGTGGCTCTTTGTTTGCCGGTGACGGGGCTGCCGTGGGGGGAGGCGATGAAGGCGATGAAGACAATCATCATCGTGGCTGCTCCCGATTCCATTTCCCCATGACAGGGTCGTCCATCACGGCCCCAGTAATCACTGCCTGCCATGATGGCAGCTGGGAGCCGCTGGAGGTGGGCTCCCACCCGGCATCCCCCCAAACCAGCACCCCTCAGAGTGCCTCAGTTTCCCTGGATGCCGTCTCGGGTGCCATGGGGTGGCTGCTGGACCTCTTGTCACCCCGGCCCCACGGTGGTGGGTGCCCATGCCTGTTCCCTGCAACACGAGTGCCCTGCGGCGCCCGCTGCCGGGGAGAACCCCGTGGGTCGGGGTGTGGCGGGGCCCCCCCCGGCCCGTCCTTGGCCCCGGGGGCCGGTGCAGGTCCGGGCAGGGCCGGCCCTGGGTGCTGTCCCCCGCTGGAGCCGCCCCGGCGGCGGTGGGACCCAGTGGGACCAGTTCAGCGACTGGGTGTCGGCGGGTGGGGCCACTCCCCCGCGCTGGCTCTGGGGCCATTCCGGGCGTGTGGGAACAGGCTGGGGGGGCCGCCTGTGTCCCCCCCCTTTCCCTGACACTGAGGACAGGGCCGCAGGCACGGCTGGAGGGTGTCTTGGGGCGGGTGGCGAATCGTGCCTCAGTTTCCCCTTGGCCTTCCCTGCTGGGTGCCTGAGGGATGCAGAGGGTGGGGGCACCACGTCTTGCCGCCCGCCCTGTAGCATCCACACGGCCTGGTGGGTGCCCTGTCCTGCAGTTTTGGGGTGTCCTGTGGTGCCACCGCTCCTGGCGCAGGGAGGTGTCCCTGTCTGTGTCCTGCCTGCGGGGGGGCCGGGGCCGCCACCCCCTCCTCACCACGGGTCCCGCCCTCGCCAGATGTGCTGCAGCTGCACGGCCCCGGGGCCGGTCTGGCTGGGCCCTACTGGGGCTGCAGCTGCCCCTCCCGGGATTCGGGGTTGAAATGGGCATCCCAGCGGGTCCGTGGGCGCAGGGGTGGGGACCTGGTGGGCTGGGAGCTGCGTGTGGGCACGTGTGTGCCCCCACAATGGATGTACACGCGTGTGTCCTCTGTGGGCTGGGGGTGTGTGTGTGGAGCTGCGTGTCCATGACACCGTGTGTGCGCACCTGGGTGTGCATGCATGTGTCACGTGTGTGTGTGTGCCAGTGCCCTCTGTGCCTGTGTGTGCACGCACATGTGTGTCACAGGTATGTTTGTGTGTGCCAGTGCTCTCTGTGCCTGTGTGTGCATGCGTGTCACACATGTGTGTGTCAGTGCCCTCTGTGCCTGCGTGTCACACATGTGTGTGTCAGTGCCCTCTGTGCCCATGTGTCTCACACGTGTGTGTGTGCCAGTGCCCTCTGTGCCTGTGTGTGCCCACATGTCACACATGTGTGTGCGCATGTGTGAGTGCCTGCCATGCACGTTGGTGGCACACGCAGAGCAGGGTGGCCTGTGTCCCTGTGCCAGGCGTGTACACGCGTGTTGGCGCGTGTAGCACCGCTACGTTGTGCCTGTGCCCTCAGCCCCATCCCTGGGGGCCCTGTGGCGCCTGGCTGTCCCTGGAGCTCCCCTCGCCTTGCCCAGTTCTGTCCCGTGCCGTGTCTCGGGGGTCTGCGAGGGGCTCCCTGTGCGCTGCCCCCCCAGACCCTCCCTCGCCCTGGTTCCCAGGCCTGGCTGCGGGCAGCGGGACCCCAGCCCGGCCCCCGCAGCAGCTCCGGGCTGCCGGGACGGGGGCCCCGCGCCCGGGCTGGCCTGTCACCCTACCCGCTGGCTCCGGTTTCCTCGCGCCGCAGCCGCTCCCCCGCAGCGCCCCGTAATTAATTAATTTTTAAAAATTAATGAGCAAAACGTGCTCCCTGCAGGCCGGGGGCGGGGAGGGGCGGCTGGGGGGCCCCGCTCAGGGCAGCGGCCGGGGAGCCCCGCGGGGTGCGGTGCTGGGGACCCCCCGGCCCCCCCATCCCCATCCCTGCCCGGGGAAGATTGATGAGGCGCTGGGCCCCCAGCCTGGGAAAGCCCATTAGGCGGAGGTTCTCTATCACTGTCAGGGGCCGGGGGGGGGGAGCCGCCTGCTCCAGCCGGGAATTCGCCGGGCTCAAAAGCGGCTGAAGGGGATAAATGGGGTCTTTTGAAGTGGGCGGGCGAGAGGGGGGCTGCGGGGCCCGGGGGGGCTGCGGGGCCCCGAGGTGCCGGCGCGGCGGTGGGGGAGGGGCTGCGGCCAGCACCCCCGGCTGGGCTGGGGGGGTTTGTGTGGGGGCCCCGGGCATCCCTGCCCGCGGGGACCGTGACCCTGTGATCCCAAAGCCATCCCCTCAGGGCACGGGGGGGTCCTCCGTGGGGTCCCCGTGGGCTGCAGGGTTGGGTTTTCATCAGCCTTTCGGAGGCATTTCTGTCCCTGCGGAGCATCGCTCAGGGAGTGGGGCCGGGAGGATGCGGGGCTGGGGATGTTGCTGGAAGGGCCCCGTTTTCGTGTCCCCAGGCTGCTGGTGGGATGTGGCTGAGGGCGGGGTGTGCCTGTCCCACTCACACTGTGGCATTACGTGCGGGGTGTCCCCTCGCCCAGTTCCTCTTGGCTCTGGAATTAAGGCTTTGTTTTTTTTTGTTTTTTTTTTTTGGTGTTTTTTTTTTAATCTCTGTTTCTTCCTGTTGCCGCCGACGCGGGACGGGAGGGGATGCGGGACGGGAAGGGATGTGGGAAGCGGTGCAGGAGGCGATGCAGGATGGGAAGCGCTGCCCATCGGGGCGACCTCTGGCACGGCCCGGCCGCGCGGTGCCACCGCCCGCGTCCCCTGCGCCGTCCCCTCCGTCCCCTCCATCGCAGCCACATTCTTTCCAGCGCTGGTAAATGAGTCAGAGCAGACATTTGTCATGTTCGCTGCAGGAAGTTGGAGCAGCGCTGGGCTTTTGTTCGAAACCTGCTGGCTAAGCAAAGCCCCGACTTGCCATTATTATTTAAACAGGCGCTGCCGCGCTGCGCAGCCCCGCACGAACACACGGACACGCACACGCGTGCACACACAGGGACAGCCACACACGAACAGCCACGCATGTGCACGGCCACACACACAGGAGAGCCACACGTGCACAGGCACACATGTATGACCACACATGTATGGCCACACGTGTGTACAGCTACACATGTATGGCCACACATGTACAGACACACACAGAGGACAGCAACATGTGCGCAGCCACACATGTGCACAGCCACACATACACATGCACAGGCACACAGGACAGTCACACGCATGCACACACACAGTCACAGAGCCACTTGCATGCACGCAGCCACACACACACAGCCACACACACACAGACATGCAGATGTGTGCGGCAGCACCCGCATCCTCCCGTCCGTGTCCAGCTGTGCTCCTCGTGCCCATGGCAAGGCCCAGCTGGGGGCTCAGTGGGGCTCCTCTCCCTCCAGGAGCACCCCTGGCCTAGGTAGCCGGGGCTGGGGCAGTGCAGATGCCGTGGCGTGCCCGCTGTGCAGCCCGGAGATCGCTGCTGCTGTGCCAAGGGAAGTGGCACCCCCAGGGCCTGTCCTTGGCGTGTGACCGTCCCCGCTCTGCGCTGGCAGCGCTGTCACCACGCAGGGTCCCCGGGTTCGTGGTGTCAGCTTCAGCTCGTGTGAAGGGCTGGTGTGGTGGGGAGTGGTGGCACATGGCTCTGTGCCCTGTATGGGTGGCAGGCCAGCACACACATGTGCATGCACACACAGAGACGGTGGGCTGTGCGCACACTCGTGTGTTTACATACTCAGCTGCTCCCATGTTTGGTGGGACACGGTGTCACACACACGTGTGCGTGTGTGCAGGACGAATGCACACACGTGTGTGCACACAGGCTGCCCTGCACAGGCACACACACCTCCCCAAGTGTCTTTGTAGCGGGAGCACACGTGGCTGTGCTGCAGCAGGGATGCAGATGTGCCATGCACTGGGAACATGCATGAACACATATGCACATGCATGTACACAGACCCACCCACCCCTCGGGGGGAGGGGGGGCCGAGGGTCAGGCCGAGGTGAGCCCTTCTCGAGGGTTCACCCGCAGTTCACCCGCATCCCATTAGGCAAATGAGCTTTGGCCGCTGGGCAGCCCCCGGGACCCCCCAGGCCCCGTCATCTCCACCGGGCAACCCCTGGGCACCCCAGCCCCGCCTTGAGCCCCTCCCCATTTCACTCCCGCGTGGCACTGCCCCCTCGTCCCTCTGCGTGTCCGTGTTCCCCTGCGTGTCCCTTTGCCCCCCGCGTGTCCGTGCTCTCTCTGTGTGTCCATTTCTCCACCGTGTATCCGTGTCCTGCGTGTCCGTGTCACCTCATGCGTCCGTGCCCCACCATGTCTGTTGCCCCCCTGCATGTCTGTGTCCCTCTCGGTGTCCGTGACCCCCCTCCCGCATGTGCTTCTCTGTGTCCTGTTTCCGTGACCCCTCCCCCGGCGTCTCCATTTCCCTCCTGCGTGTCCGTGCGCCCCCCGCGTGTCCGTGTCCCCTCGCCTGCGGGTGCTGTGGCGGCCCCGCGGCGCGGAGCGGGTTAAGCACGGGGAGGCGGCGGGTGCCGGGAGGGAC